TCCTCCTCCTCCTCCTCCTCCTCCTCTCCTCCTCCTCCTCCTCCCCACTCCCCGCCCTTAGCCTCGTCGGGTCGCCTACGGCCCCGGGGGAAACCGTCCACCTAGAGGTAGCCGTCGGTCGTTGCAGGTAGGTATTTTTGGATCGTCGGGTCCCAGTCTGCTTTATGCGCCTTCCTACTTCGATGTTCCAGTGGTTTCCCCTTTTCCTTCCTCTTCAGGGGGCGGGCGGAAGCTCACTCTACTTCCAACGCCTCCCTACTTCATGTTTCTACCCACTTGTTCCGACCGACGGGTAAACTGGGGCATACGGAGAATCCTAGGCCCCGTTCAGCTACTCAGGCCCCCGTTGAGGGTGTGCCCTGGTCGCCTCAGAAGCAGAGCACTGCACAAGCGGCGCGCGCCAGGCCATCACGCAGGCGCAGGAGGGCTACAACCTGGACGAGCTGGGGGAGGCGGCATTCCCCACGCAGCGGGGCGGGCGCCTGGGACCACGCGCGCGCTGGGCCCGCCCTGCGGGAGGAGGTCGGAGAAGAGGTGGGGGAGGTGGGGAACGACGATCCCACAGCCCCCTCGGGCCACGAGGAAGTCGTGGCGGGAGGCGCTTCGCCATTTCCGGCCTCTGGGGGCCCTCGGACGGCCCTCGGGGCCGCCTCCGCCTCCGCTTCCGCCTCCTCCGCCTCCTCCTCCTCCTCCTCCTCCTTCGCCTCCTCCTCCTCCGCCTCCGCTTCCTCCTCCTCCTCCTCCGCCTCCGCTTCCTCCTCCTCCTCCTGCTCCTCCTCCTCCTCCAGACCGCTGGGGATCCACGTCAGTGAAGAGCCATGAGGCCAGGGGTCTGGGAGAGAGGCGCCTGTTGCCGAGGGGCGGGCGCAGTGCGCCGTCTCGCTAGGGAGCCTCGCCGTGGGCAGGGGCCGCCAGCGTCGCCGGACGCAGGCCCTGCTCTTGCCCTGGGCTGGCCGCCGCTATCGCTGTGGAGGACGATCAATGGAGGGGAAGCATGTTGCCAAGTAGTTTCCAGATGTCTGAAACACGGGTAAAGCATGCTTTACACATGTGAAGCGCATGCTTCAAACATGTTTAGATTTTTCCGACATCTCAAACGATTCAATGATAGGACTGTTAGGGTGTCCATTGTCGTGGCATCCACAAGCCTATCGTCGCCTCCGAGGGGGGGGGGACGGGCAGGTCGGTCGCGGGCGCGTCGGTGCAGGGAGGCTGGGGCGGGTGATCTTCGTCCTGCTTCACGGCCCCCTTCCTTATGGTCCTCCCTCTTGTCGTCCTGCTCCCCTGGGCGCCCTCAGCTGCGGCCACTCCTCCTCCCCACCTGCTCGTGCTCCTCTTTCTCCTCCTCCTCCTCCTCCTCCTCCTCCTCCTCCTCCTCCTCGCTCCCCCTCCTGCTTGGATAGCAGGGCCCCGTCCGCCAAGGACTCGGGGATAGCCCGGGCTTGCGTGCAGGATCCTGCAGGATCTTGTAGGATTCTGCAGTGCCCGACTGACCCGGGTTTGCATTGACCCGGGTCAGTACGTCTCCGACGAGTTTTCGACGGTCATGGGGCCCTAGAAGGGCCCCCTGCATCCCGAAAATGGGCCCAAACCTTCCGTCTTCTGTTGCGCTCTTCTTGCAACGCCAAGATGTCTTGTGGACGTGCGGGCGTCGCGAACACCTTGCGACGGTTGGTTTCGCTACGGTCCCGATGTGACTCGAAGACCTCCGCACTCTGAGCATTTACGGGCCAAATGTGGCTCGAGGACCTCCGCACATTTGGGCACTGTGTCGGGTGCTCCAGGCCCATATTTATCAGCTTCGGGCGTCGGAGTCCTTCAGTTCACGTCAGGAACTTAGCATGACAATACGGTCGAGACGCGGTAATCGAATGAAACGTTTGGCAGGTGGATCTCTCAAGCTCTCCGCCGCCGCTGGCGGTGTGCGTTGCGAGCAGGATCACAGCAAAGCCACAAGAAAGCGCGGCATTGACAGTGTAGCTCCGCACACGTGACAAATATTAATGAGCAGGAACGGCAAAGCACCGGAGGTCCGCTCGAATGTCCGTGGCCGGTGCTGGGCCATCCTCGCCAGAGAAAGCCGACCCAAGAAGTTTGCGCTGACCTCCGAGAGTCCATGTTTCAAGGGAGGAGAAACCACCCAGGCCGGACAATTGGCGTTTACTAAACGGCCTTGGGCGTTCACTAAACAGCCCTGCCCTGTTTGATTCCTTCTTTGGGTGCGTTTACTGAACGGCTTTGCGTGTCGGGGTAGTTATCTGGGTGGATTTTCTGCCCTCTAATGTTTGCACAGATCTCGTACCCTGCACTTTTGTTACCGCTTTCTTTGTCCAGGGACGTCTATCGGGCCGTCCAGGAAGTCCCGTAGAGGCTTGGACCTTCCAACTGGATTCGGATTTCGCGCTTGTCATCCAGGGTTGCGAAATCAGTTTGGATCGCTATCTGCGCCTGGGTCGTCGTCTGTGTCGCTGTCGCCGTTGCCGTCGTCACCGTCGGGTGTGGTCGTCACTGTCGTCGTCGTCGTCGCCGTTGCCGTCGGCGTCGTCGCCGTCCGTCGAGACCGGGCCGTCAGGCTCCTTCCGAAGCCGTGCAGAGAGCTCCGAAACTACCCGAGGTCCGACCCTGTGGCCCACCACCTCCACCTACAGTCGGACCGAGGCATAAGATCGAGATCGGTTCGGAGAGGGTGCTCTAGTGCTCTCCGTGTTTGCTGGATGTTCTCGTGCATCCCCGGGAGGGTACCACTGGATGTCATGTTTGTTCTAGCCGACGGAGGCTATTCCTGCTCTGGAAGGATGTTTTTTCTGGCCTGGGTCAGACTGGGCCACACCTTCCGCACCCCCTCTGCGCGGCAGGCCACGCCGCGGCGGCGCCTGCCGCGCGGAGGGGGTGCGGCTGGCTCGGCAGGGTGGAGGTCGAGCGTGGCTCGCGGGGTCGGACCTCGAGCCTCCGCCCTGCAGAGCGCGGGGGGGGATGCTGCCGCGAGAGGGGCGCCGGAGAGGTGGAGGTCGACCGGGGGCCGATGAGGCTCTGCTCTCGACCTGCACCGCGGGGGACGCACGTCGTGCGTGCTCGGCGCGGCCGCGTTTCCAGCGCGGGCGTCCGACGCGTGTTCGACGCGGCCGCGTTTTCGTCGTGCGTGTTCGACGCACGTCGTGCGTGTTGGGCGCAGGCGCGTGCTCGTCGTGCGTGCTCGTGCGTGGCTCGACGCGGTCGACACGCGGGCGGTCCGAGGCGACGGGCCGGCCGCGGGCCCGGAAGCGGCCGCCCTCGGACGATCGGCACTTCGCGGGAGGCCGCGATGGCTCGAGGCTCCTCGTGAGATCCGACGTTTTGCAACAGAGAGGCAACACCGCGAAGAATCACGACCAGAGCCCCGGGCCTCCTCCGAGCCCTGGGCCTTCTTTTTTTCTGCGTCAGTAGTCCGAGGCGGATCGAGGAGGGCCCCCCGAACAAGAACAGTTAAGCCGCCAGGATCTCAGGGCGTGAACAAACAAATGCCGATAATAACAAAAGTTCCGCGCGGTGCGGGAACGGGGCGTGCACAGCCGGGCGTGAACAAACAAGAACAGCAGCAGCAACAACAACAACAACAACAACAACGACAACATCAAACGCTCCGAGGGGCGTGAACGGCCCGCGCGGCGCGGGAAGCCACTGCCGAGGCCGTCACGGCACCGAGCCTGCGCAGCCTCGGCCAGTGCGCAGAAGATCGTCAAAGGCTTAACGACTTTTGCCATCCTTCGACGCGCGCTGCAACGGTCGAGAGTTGCTCCCACTTTCTTTCCCTGGGCATCTTCGGATTTACCTGGACCTACCCGGACTGATCTCGATTCACCTGGATCTGCCTGGATTTATCTCGACTCACCTGCGTTCGCCTGGACTTATCTGGCTCGATTCCCACAAGTCGAGTGGCGAAACGTCGACAGGCCCTCCCGCTCCAGGGAGAGCGCGGCGGCCACGCGCGACGTCGGGTCGGCGCCCCCCCAACATACTTCTACTAGGTGTTCGTCGCCCGCCCATTGGGCGACGCGCGCACCTAGAAACCTTATAATGTTTGCGTCGTGGCAGGCGCTTTCTGGCCACACCGCTCGAGAAACGATGTACTACAAGATGGGTATACAGTGCCGTTTTTAAGTACATGCTCCGCGTGCGGATCATGTATTAAAATGCAGGGATTTAGTACGAAAAACAACGATGAGCTCATGCATAAGTTCATCCATACATTAAGCATGTATTAAACATCCGATCTTTTTTTGTTTTAGAAAAGAAGCATTATTAAAAACTGCCCTGTACTACATGTTCGGGTCGGACGCGCGCCTCCAGGGCGGACGTGTAGTACTGTAGTACGCCTCCGTGCGTCGCGTCGGAGGCCAACTCGCCGAGAGGCCGACGCGGCACGGGGAGGGGCCCGCTGCCTCGGCCGGCGGGCGGAGGGAGCGGCTCGAGGGCGCGCCCCGCGGTCCTCGGCCTCGGCCTCCTCGGGGGCCCCACGCGCGAGCCCTACCCTTCAGCCGTTCTGGCCCAAGTTTTTGGGCTTGCAGGAGCTGTCTTCAGAGCGGCAGTCGCTCCTGCGGGTCTTTGTGGCTCGGAATCTCTTTGTGAGCTCCTGGTGGAGCAAGCTTTCCTGAGACAAGCCGTGCATTGCATGGCTCGACGCGATGAGGCGGATGTACTCCCAGGGCCCCGATCGCCCTACTGGGGGTGTCCAAGCTGTGGCAGGAACCAGAATTTCGCCTGTCGGATACGTTGCGTCTGCGGGCAGTCAGCCCCGAGGGCCAGTGTGGAGCGCGCGCGCACTGCGGCTGCCTCTTTGGGCCCATCGGCTCGTGCTGCTCCTGGCGGTCCTCCTGGGCAGCCTCGCGGCCCTCGCGGTGCGTGGGCCAAGGGCCCCCCAGCCGATCTGTCAGGCCAGCTGGCAGCCATGGAGAAGCGTATCATGGAGAAGGTTGTCGCCAAGTCGAGCCCTCCCGCGGGTGTCGCGGCCAACGGAGGGGGAGGTGGCGGCTCGGCCCAGGCTGGAGGCGGTGGCGGCGACGCTCAAGCCGCACCGCCCTCTGATGATGACAAACTACGTGTTCGAGTGCAGCACTTGGAGGAGTCCCTGCAGGCCCTTCGCAAGTGTGATGGAGTGCCAGCGTCTGCCATTGAGACCGTGGAGGGTGAGCTCAAGGCGGCGCGGGCTGCAGTGCAGTCCAAGAAGCCAGTGCTGTCCCGCGCCACCACGCTGGGCCACAAGCTGGCGGACAAGCAGAAGAAGTGCGAGGCTCTCGACAAGTCTATTGCGGAGCAGAATAAGGTTGTGGAGGAGGCGCAGCGGGCGTTGGCGGAGCTCAACGATCGTCAGCGCAGCCTGCGCGTGGACATCGACGCGCTCAAGATCGAGTTGCAGGCGGCGATGCAGCAGGTGGCTCCTTCGGCCCCCGAGCAGCAGGTGGAGGTCGACCTTGAGCTGGACCCGAGCGTGCTCGAGGGCCCCGAGGCGGATGGGGTTAAGACGATGCTGGCTTCGCCCGAGTTCGCCAAGTTCAGGCAGCTCTATGCGGCCAAGGCGGCAGCGGCGCGTGCCCAGCAGCAGGCCCCTTCGCAGGAGCCTGGCGGCGGACATGGTGCAGCCCCAGGAGCCGCTCCTGCAGCGGCCGAGGTCCGTGCTGGTGATGATGACGTGGACATGGAGGAGCTCTCCGACGAGAAGGTGCAGCAGGTCATTGCTGCGGCGCGAAAGGAGGGCCCCGACCACGAGAAGGAGGTCGCGGATTTGCTCAAGCAGCTTGGTATCAGGGCGAAGAAGCAGCGGTGCGGGTGACGCCCTTCACTGCTGCCGTGCGCCTCTCTTGTCAGGCATTCCGCTGTCTTCTGCTGGTGTACCTGTTCCACCTCTTCGTGGAGGCCCCAAGGTGGCCAGTGGGGGCCCGTTTTTTATCGAGACGTTCAACGGTTCGTGTTGGAAGACACTTCGGCGAAGATTGCGGGAGACATCGGCGGTGATAGTGTGCGCTCAGGAGATAGGCATCAGCACTTCTTTCTTGGGACAGGCGACGGCCTCGGCACGCTCCCTTGGTTTCCACGCTTTGTTCGGCCCCTCGTTCCTGAACGTTGAGACAGGCAAGGTCTCGTGCGGTGTTGCCGTCTTCGCACGGCTCAGCATTGGTTTACGATGGCCTCCAGAAGGTCCTGGCCCAGTCGTTCCTGGACGAGCTATCAAGGTTCTGGCGGATTTTCCTGGATGGCCCACGGTGACGGTTTTCTCGGTTTATTTGAAGACATCGGAGGGCCTCAGCGAGGCCAACATCCAGATGATCGCGAAGATAGGTAAGCAGGTGCATGACCCAACTCATACGATCCTCGCGGGGGACTGGAATCTCACACCACAGGTTCTGGAGGCTTCTGGAGTTCCACGCAAGCTGGGGATGTTGGTTCTTGCGCCGATTGAGCACACGTGTCGTACCCCGTCTACGAACACAATCATTGATTTCTTCGTCATGGGCCCCGGCTTGTCTAGATTGATTTCTGGAGTTGCTGCGGTCATGTCTTGGGATGTCAAGCCCCACAGGCCTGTTCAACTCAAGGTTCGTGCAGATGCTCTCTCCCTCAGGCAGTTAGTGTACCGTAGCTATCAGCGGCTCCCTGTTGATGTGCCTTTCGGACCGCGGCCTCAACCTCCAGCGTGGCAAGGCGCTCTTGCTCATGCTGCTCAGGCAGCGGCTTGGGCCATGCACGAGAAGGCCACGGTGGCCTGGAGTGTTTTGAATAATGCATGGGCGCAGTTTGTGGATGTCGCGGAGCTGGAGCTTACCCGCACTTTAGGTTTCGAGCCGAAGGAGTTGGGTGAGCGTTCGCGAACGATCAAGTCGTCGTGGGTTTCAGTTTTCTATCGCCCGAAGGATCCTGAGGATAAGCTCCAGATCGTTGCTGGTTGGAGGTGGCTGTACCAGTCTTTTCAGGAATTTACCCTGACGGTGCAAGATGCGACCGAGGATGCCGTGCAGATTTGCATCCAGCTTCAGGTATCGCTCCAGGACTCCTGCCCTGGTGAAGGCTTGTCTGTGCGCCTTGATGCCTCCCTCCGTGCCATGCGCACTCTGGCGAGGAGCTGGCAACACCACAGCAGCTTCCATCAGCAGGAGTGGCTTGAGCAAGCTCAGCAGTTTTTAGATGATGTTCGTGAGGATTATGAGCAAGCTGGGTCAGATGGGGATCGAATACAGCGGGAGTCGTGGGACATCTGGCAGGAACGGGCCCTTGCTGGCTCAGCTCGGATAATGCATCGTTTTACGAAGCTGAAAAAGGTTTGGCAGCCGACAGTTATCCAGAGTGCGCCTGGAGTTTTTACTGCGGATCCTCACGCCCTTCTGGAGGATGAAGCTCAGACGTTGGGAAGATTCTGGGGAGCGGGCTTGAAGCCACCTGAAGCCTGGATTCCTGATCGTCAATGTTTTCCTCGGGCCAGCGTTGATGAACTTCGGAAAGCGCCCCTGAGCTTCAGCCGCCACACCGCCCAGAGTTTAGATGGATTTCACCCGCGGCATGTTGGTGCCCTCTCCGACGAGGGCCTCACGTGCCTGGCTGTGCTCTACGAGGCCGTGGAGCGGCTGGGCCTTTTCCCCGCGCAGCTACTGTGGATGCTGCTGCCTTTACTGGAGAAGCCCAAAGGAGGTCTCAGGCCGATTCTTCTTCTGGGATCTTTTGTTCGAGTTTGGGAGCGACTTCGGAGACCTCAGGCTGATGCTTTCCTGGATCGGGCCCAGCGGCCTTACTGGTCATTTGGTGCGGGGCAGTCTGCAGAAGTATCGATATGGCAGCAAAGTGTGATAGCCGAGGAGACCTCCGAAAAGGGCGATTACACGGCAGGTTTCATTTGGGACGGAATGAAGTACTATGAGTCCTTTCGGCTCCAGTGGCTGAGGGATCGGGCCCTGTACTGGCGTATACCCACGGTTCTCATAAAAGTCTTGTACAACCTCTGGAGGTCCCCGAGGGTACTCCGTCTGGGAGCTCATCACTGCCCGCTCATTCAGTTTGCGCAAAATGGTTTACCAGCAGGGGACATTTTCAATGATGTTTTCGTGAAGGTTTACGCGATGTTCGAGTTTGATCTTTGGTCTAGCCGAAATCCTGGGGTTAGTTTGGGATCGTACGTCGACGACGACACGGTTTCGGCCCATGGTCCTGAAAGTGCCATTATGCACGATTTGGTCACGGCTGCGAAAGATTTGAAGTGGGTCTTTCAGACACGTTTAGGTGTGCGGCTAGCTGAAGACAAAGCGGTATCTTTTTCGTCGTCCAGCAGGATAGCTTCCAAGTTGCGCAGGCGACTTCAGCCAATATGCCCTTCTTCGGCCACGAACTCCACGGTGTCGCTGGGCGTGGACCTAGCACCTGGTCAGGGGTTATCGGCTAAGAAGGCTAGAGCTCGGCGGCGGCAACGGTTTCACGATATGCGAATTCGTAGCCGGCTACTCCAGCACTATAAGAAGAAGCTTCCCAGGGACCGTACGCGTATTAACAAGATATATGTAGCAGGAGTACGGCCAGCAGCAGGTTTCGGTAGCATGGTCCTAGGAGTTTCTGATCATGAGTTGGCTTCTTTACGTTCTGTGCTCATGTCAGGCAAGTCCCCTGCTCATCGGGGAGCCAGCCTGACAGCGAAGTGTGTGCTTCATGGAGACCCTGCGTGGCGTCAGGCGGTGGCCCCAGCACTTCAGTGGTCGAACAGCCTCTGGCAGAGCCTCACGGAGCCCACGGTGTGCCACTTCTCTTTTCGGGATCACATTCGGATATGGCGTACTATATCGAGTTCCTCTCCTGAGTTAGGCCCCACCGTCTGGCGTAAGTCTAAAGGTCCAGTGCATAGAATGCTCCTCTCCCTCCATCGTATTGGGTGGCGTGCAGATAACTTTGCGCTGTGGAGAGATGACCGCGATCGCGTGGTTGATTTAATGTACACCTCCCCAGCTTTAGTGGCCAAGCAGCTCGAGGCTGGTGTACAGAGAGCCCTTGAGCGCAAGATGGCCACTGATTTAGATGATTTCAATGATGCCCGAGTCTGCCCAGACCCTGTCGATAAGCTTTTCCGTTCACGTAAGACCACGGCCAGACAAAAATATTGGCTCTCGGCAGTGTTTTCAGGTGCCTGCTGGACGGGAGATCGGTTGAGAGCGTGCGGGTATGACCACGGGGGGGTTTGTCCTTTGTGCGGGGAACCCGACTCCCTGTTCCATCGGCAATGGCTCTGTCCGAGTGTTGCCGAACAGAGGCTCGAGCATGTCAGTCAGGAGTTGATTGATCAGGTGAAAGCTGCCGAGCCCCAGGAACTTTTGTTTTGGTCGAGGCTCATTGTGCCTCAGCCTGTGGTCCCTGGTCCGTCCTGGAACCTCGACCCGATCTTTCAGGATTCCGAGGGCCAGGAAATCAGTTTTGAAGATTTTCTTGAGCTGTCCCGTGGGTGTGAGCCCGTGGTCGATGGCTCAGCAACTCAGCAGGTGTTTAAGGAGCTCCAACGCGCGGCGTTCGGGGCTGTGTTCCTGGCACCTGGCCCCGAATACAAGATTCAGGCACGGATGATGGGCACAGTATGGCCCACCTTGTTCCAGACTCCGCAGTCGGCGGAGCACCTTGGTATGGCTACGCTTAGCTGTGTCATAGATGACCCTGCCACCCCTCACAGCGACTGCTCTGGTGCCGTTAATCTGCACAATGCTAGTCGTCGTGAACAGCTGTGCCCAAAGCAGATGTTTGCTGGCCTTAGGAGGCTCGCCCTGGAACACGACCCTCAGGGCTTTCTGGGACCTGCCTCCTACACCCCTGCCCACAGGTCTGAGGAGGTGATTTTGGCTTTACCGATTTTGGAGCGTCGCATTGCCCTGGGAAATGCTGATGCTGATAGGTTAGCCAAGCACGCACTGACACTTCACCCAGGGGCCCCGACAGAAGACCTCGAGGCCCTTGATGTGTGCGTGAAGCGTGTGAAAGATTTAGTTCGAATGTTTGATGCTGTGCTCTCCTGCTACCCCAAGATGGAGTTCCGTCGCGTTGCCAGAGGCCTTCGGACGACGGCTCTCAGAGATCCGAGTTGGCACGACTGGCGCGAGATTGACTCTGGGGTAGCTTGGAGGTGAAAAAAGTGTTTCTCGATCGCCTGGGATCAGGATAGATCGATGGTAGGGTGCAAAGGGGTCCCCACAGCCTTTCGGAATCTGAAGGATGCCGAGGAACGGGGGCACCTCCTAGCTTGTGCGATGATTGACAATGAGGCCCAGGAACCTTTAGTGTTTTGCTATAGGTGTGGTGCCTACTCTTCGAAAAGGTGTGTTTTGCTGGCTGGGCGGTGTTTTGGGAAGCTGGGTAAGAGATCCCAGACCCTCTTCCGAGTCAAGCAGGGGCTCCATCCTCACTTTTACAATGATAATCGTGTCACGGACCCTTGCCGTCGCTCTGCCGAGGCTGTCCTTGAGGCCGCAACCACACAAGTTGGTAAACCGACGGCCTCCCGCCTGCGCCTCGTGTCAACTCCTGGCATGGAGGCTCTGGCGGCCCGCGTTCGTGCGCGGGAAGAAGCTGCAGCTGCCTCCCGTCGATCGGGTTAGGCAGGTTTGCTCTGTTCTGCCTCGAGGGCCTCCGAGGAAAAGCCCTACCCTTCGGTCGGGCGTGGCCCCCCCTACAGGGGGCCTCTTGGACGAAAAAGATGAGAAAAGAGTACGAGCCCTCTCCCCAAGTGGCCAAAACACATGCTCAACAACATCGTCCCCAGGCTGTTTCTGGACCGTTTTTGAATTGCTCCTCCTGTCCTCTGAGGGGGAGGGGGGTGGGGTCCGCTTCGCTCGGGAGCTCCCCCGAGCGACGCGGACCCCCCCCCCCCTCCCCCCAGAAGTCGTGGGGGGCAGGGGGTCTTGGTATCATCGCTCGGACGTGTGCACCTCTTCTCGGCGGGAATCGTGGAGGAGCATCCTGTGTATCGTCCCGCGAAGGGACCACGCACGAGACCGACAAAAAACACACCGGGAACGGACGCCCGAGCGACGGGGAGGGGGCGGGTTCGCGCGTGGCCCCCTTACTCAGAGCGTGAATTACCTCCCCCGCTTTCGCTTCCAGGCAAAACCAAGTCATACCACGCGCCTCCTCGTCAAGCGGCCTGACCAGTACAGGCTGCAATTTGGCATCGTTTGGTATCTCTTGGAAGCGAGGGTGGTCAAAAGCGAGGGAGGTTTGTTTTCCCCCTACTTACCTCCGCAGCCGCCTCGGCCCCGCGCGCGCCCCGCGCGCGCGGGGCCTCGCCGGCGCCCCGCCCGCCCCGGCAACCGGGTATCGGCGAGGGGCGTCGGCCCGCGGGCGCTCCGCGCTGCGGCGAGGGCGGCCCGCAGACCTCCTCGTCCCCCTCCTCCCCTCCTCCTCCTCCTCCTCCTCCTCCTCCTCCTCCTCCTCTCCTCCTCCTCCCCCTCTCCTCCCTCCTCCCCTCCTCCTCCTCCTCCTCCTCCTCCTCCTCCTCCTCCTCCTCCTCCTCCTCCTCCCTCCTCCTCCTCCTCCTCCTCCTCCTCCTCCTCCTCCTCCCCCTCGTCCTCCTCCTCCTCCTCCTCCTCCTCCTCCTCCTCCTCCTCCTCCTCCTCCTCCTCCTCCTCCTCCTCCTCCTCCTCCTCTCACGGGAGGGGGTGGGGTGGGGGAAAGGCAGGGGGGCCTCCAGCAGGGGTGCGGGCCATCGAGAGCGCAGGAGGCCCCCCAGTGCGAACCGCGCGGGGAGGGCGTGGCCTCACTTATAGGTCCTCGCCCTCGAGGGCGCGAGAGCCCCGAAGCCCAATCGCGCAGTGAGGGCGTGGCCTCACTTATAGGTCCTCGCCTTCGAGAGCGCGAGAGCCCCTCATTTGAATCACGCAGTGATGGCGTGGCCTCACTTGGGCTCTCGCCTTCGCATCACGGAGCATCAGTCTGGGCGGTTTGGTCCGGCACATTTGCAGGAAGGGCCCCACCTAAGTATCCAAACCTTTTTGGCCCTCCTAACTTAGGCCCCCTCCCAAAGGGTAAAGGGTAGTGTTATTGCTTATCAGGTGGTGACTAGGGGGGAGGGATCTCATGGCTGGGGCCATGATCTCCTCGGGTTTCATGACCCCCTCTTCTTCTTTCAACATGTCCCCTGGTCCATGCCTCGTCCGCGCACATGCATCAGGCGAGGATCTGCTGCGAATCCGCCTCTCGGACACTCCCGCCCATCGCGGCGAAAATCAGAGGAAGAACAGCTGCAGATCACGCCACCCCTGCCTCGCTCTCGCCCTCCTGGGCCCCTTGTGAGGCCCTCGCTGCCACGGCAGGCTTCGCCTCACAGCGCTGGTCACAACGTGCCCCGGGAGAGGTCGAGGCAGCAGCTGTGCCGGCGGGAGGCCTTTGGCCGCCTCTGGCTTCCAGGGGCCCGTTGGCGCTGGACCCTGACATCTGTCGGGAAGACGACGCGGGGCGAGCGGCCGGGGCCCACGATGGGGACCGTGAGGCCTCTGGGGGTAGGCACGGCCAGCAAGACCACGACGTCGGAGGTCCGGGGCTGCCCCGGCGCTTCCTCTCGGGGCCATGGCGAGCAGGCAGAATGACGGCCTGATGGGGATCACGTCGGACGTCGACGAACAAAAGCTGCATAGATTTACGCCTTCGGAGGTCCGCGCGGGTCTTTGTACTCCGTGCTGGACCCCCCTGGCAGCGCCCGGGGGGTCCAGCGCCAAGCGTTCAGTCGGGCCTGTCCCTCTACAGGAGGAAGATGCACGAATCGTAGAAAAGACAGAATTAGTCAGGTGACAATTGTTCGTGCTCTGTTGCCTATATGTATGTTGTTTGATTTTGTATCCAAAAAAAAACCTCACGACATCTGCCTGCAGGAGGACATCCCCGTCCTAAGCCGAGCGCGTACCTCCTGAAAGCTGGTATCTGTGTACCAGTGCGTGCTCTTCTACAGGACGGCAGCGTCAACCTCTACGACGGCGGCAGGAGCCCCCTGGCGGCGAGGGAAAACGAGGGCCCGAGGTCCCTCGCAGTCCTTCGGCCTCCGGGGGGGCCGCTTTCCTGGACCCCTTGGGCCATCGAGGAACGAGTCGACGACATCTCGACGACGATGACGTCGAGGACGACGCCTCGACGGCGATGTTGACGATGACGATGTCTCGACGACGTCGTCGAAGGCGACGTTGTCCCGACGGCAGAACGGAAGGCCGAGCCAGGAGAGCGCCCCAGCGGTCCAGGACCCGTTTTCTTCGGGGAACTCGTCCACCCTCACGCCGGGAGGAGCTGGCCGCGCGCATGGGGAAAATAATGGGAGGAGGAGGAGGAGGAGGAGGAGGAGGAGGAGGAGGAGGAGGAGGAGGAGAGGAGAGAGGGAGGAGGAGGAGGAGGAGGAGGAGGAGGAGGAAGGAGGAGGAGGAGGAGGAGGAGAAGGAGGAGGGGGAGGAAGGACGGGAGGAGGAGGAGAGGAGGAGGAGGAGGAGGAGGAGGAGGAGGAGGAGGAGGAGGAGGCGGAGGAGGAGGAGGATGGGAGGAGGAGGAGGAGGCGGTCGAGGAGGACTCGGGCTTGTGCGGTGGCTCGAGCCCTCGGGGACTCGGGCTACCTCCAGTGTATCCTCGCGTGCTCAGCTCGCTGGGCCAGTAGACTACGGACCGCTTCATTGCGAGGGATGCGTTTCCTTCCGGACCCTCCCATACCCAGACATCCAACCGCTCCAATTGTTTCGATGCGTGGGCCTCGGAGGTCCGGACCACTTCCCCAGGTCTGGTGTTTCGCCCTGAGTCGATTTTTGACGCTCCCTGGAGGCCGAAAACTGCCAAATTCCCGCCGCTCAACTTTTGTTGGGAGCGTCGGATCTCTGGGTCTGGTCACGCCACAAGGAGCTCGGGCACCGCCGTCGAGAAGGGGCTGGCCGCGCGCATGGGCGGGCACACGTGGAACCCCATCACTGGCGACGGCAGGCAGGAGATCTACTTCACCCAGACCAGGACCTCGAAGTGCGCCACCTACAGTGGAAGCCGCGAAGCCCATGCCAAGAAACACCCTGCTTGCCTCCAGGGTGCCCTGGGCTTATGGGGGTTCGGTGGTTTTGCTACGGAGCACGTGACGTTCCCACACCGAAAATCAGTGGACGTCCTGGGGTCTCAGGGTTGGGTTTCTCGTGGAAAGTGTCTTGTGGTCGAGCTCCTACTGTACCCCGAGATCCCGCCGTCGCGATGTTACAGCAGGCGAGTTTGCCTCGTTTCGGGCCCTGGGGCCATCACAGATCGATCCGGCTCGAGAAGTGCCGCAGGACCATGGGTCCGAGGCTCGGGTCGTGTTTTTTCCACGAGGGCGCACGAATCCTGACCTGGCCCGTCGTGGGCCGAGCGTCGTGGTGCGTCCTATGCCTCCCTGGCCAAGCCGGGGGTGGGGTGCACACCCGGCCCAGGAACGGCCTGGCCAGGGGAATGGGTGTACGGCTCGAGGGTTTGTTTCTCCGAAGGCCTCAATGAGGCGACCGGTCTTCCTCCTCATCCACCTCCTCTCCTCCTGCTGCTGCTCCTCCTCCTCCTCCACCTCCTCCCTCCTCCTCCCTCCTCCTCCTCCTCCTCCTCCACCTCCTCCTCCTTTCTTCCCTCTCCTCCTCTTCCTCGGGTCGCCTACGGCCCCGGGGGAAACCGTGCATGTACGGTAGTTTCATGCGTCGATGGCGCGCCAGCGACGCCGGCGAAGGCGTTCAAGGTTGAACCCTGCGACGCGGAAGCACCAAGGGGACACGGTGACGCCACTGGACCCGACCAAATGTAATCTTAAACGATCGGGGCCGCGATCGGTTCAAGGTCGAGCGATCGTCGTGGTGTCAAAAACCTCTGCGCGCGCCGACGCCGCGCGAACCTACCGTAGATGGGTGTAGACCCAGACATCGGGCCGCTCCACTTTTCGATGCGTGGGCCCCCGAGGTCCAGGCCACTTCCCCAGGTCCGGTTTTTCGCACCGAGTCGTTCCTTGACGCTCCAGAGGCCCAGCAAGGGCCCCTGGAGGCCGAAACAACTGCCCAAATCCCGCCGCGCCAATTTTTGGGCAGCGTCGGGTCTCTTGGGGTGCGCAGCTGGCCTCCTCCCCCAGGAACCCCGACCACCCGTTCTTCCTGGGCGACCAGCGGAGGAAGGTCCCGGTGGACGGCCGCGACCTCGTCGGCAAGTCCCTGCGCGGGCCCGCCCCGCACCCGCGCGAGGTGGCCGGGCCGCAGCGCCGGAGGGAGGTCCAGCTGGCGCAGATGGAGAACGCGAGCTCCTACCAGGGCTTCCAGCAGCGCTGCGGCCAGATGTTCCCGCCGAGCCCAGCCAAGCGGTGCGCGGCGGCGCACGGAGGGACGACGGTGGCGACGACGTCGCCTTCGAGGCTTCTGGGCGCTTCTCGGGGGTGGGGGTGTCCGTCGCCACGGCCTGGGCGCAGCTCGAAAAAGTGAGCTCGACGAGCCCGACTGTGGACCAGTTCTGAGCGGATGTTTGCTACGGGGGGGCTGGCGCGAGGAGGTTCCAAACGGGTGTATGCCACGGAGGGCGTCTTATACGTCTTGCTTTCCTGGCAGCCTCTTTCGAAGCGCCCGACCCCCTCCTGAGACGCCCCCCCTGCCTCCCCGGAAGGCCCCCTCCCCCTCGCGCGCGCTGACGAGGTACTCCATCGAGCCCAGACTCTACGCGCTCGAGACGGAGAAGCTGAACCCCAAGAGCTCCCCCAAGCAGGATCCTCCGCCTCCCCCTCCTCCCTCTTCTCATCCTGGGCGTCGCCAGAGGGGCTCCGCCCGAAGGCGACCCATGCTTCGCCAGGATGTCCGGATGGCCTCTGGAGCACCCCATCGTGAGGCCCCAAGAGGACTCCCAGGGACCAAGGGCGCAACAGGCTGGGGGCACCCCATGCCACGATGCCCTCCGTCGGGTGTTCGCTCATGGACCCCTTGCCAGCAGCCGCCGTCCCACTTTCGCGCCCAAGCCCGCCGAAGACCGCCGAAGACCTGTCGTGAGACCGCCGCAGGCCAGCCAGAGGGCCGACGGGCAGCAGGCCGATGATCGAGTGCGCAGCTTCGGGCATCCTCCGAAGGAGTGGATCAGGCGGCGCGGTGAGCGCATGGGCCACAGCGTCTCCTGCCCGAGCGTCGACCTCCGGGACCCAGCCGGGAGCCTGGACGCGGCCGTGCGCGTGGACCCCCGGAGGCGTGCCGGCCAGCTGCAGTCCGAGAGCGACTCGTGCTTGCCGCGGGCGTCTGCGGGCTGCTCCCTGGGCACGGACTCCACCGGCGTCGGGAGGCAGTACGCTGCCAAGCAGGTCGGAGGAGACAGCCGGCGCCCAGATCGCCGGCACTGCTTCTGCTTGTGTCTGCCATCCAGGCGCTTCTCCTCCCGCCGAGCGTGCTCCACTGCTCGCAGAGTGCCTACTTGCAAACGCCCGAACAACTCACGGCTGCTTCGATGTAATTTATCGTAGATCCCCCGCGGTGGATCCAGGCCATTTGCGAGTACACCTTAGGCGATGCTTAAGAAAACCTGAGTTTTCGGCCAGAGTCTCGATTATTCTTAGTGTTTCAATGTAAATCCCAAGGTTTGAATGGGAATTTTGGGTTCTTATGTAAGTTCTGAGACTATGAATTTCATAACCCATGATTTCTTAAGCATTTCGCAGGGTGTAGTTACTGTGCGAGTGGCTACTCTGCGAGTGGTGGAGCGCGCTCGTCTGTCCTCGGCGTCGGCCGTCGGGGGGCGTTTTGCGGGCTCCGGAGCCGTCGAGAGCGAGTCCGGAGCCGAAGGCCTGCAGCATGCAGGGAAGGGGTCTGGACCGTACATGGACAATGCATTCGAACCCTTACACATTTGAGGGAGATTCTAAACCACCCCCGCGCCCCCGACATCAATGTTGATCTCAGTGAAGGCGGTGCTTGGGGGTTCGAATATTTCTGTCCACTCACGCCCCCCCCGTCGCCACGCCATCAATATCAATTTCGGGGGCCTGGGGGGCATCTTGGGCCACAGGGTTCGAATATAATGTCCATGTACTGGAGCTCTGCGGATGGCCGCTCATTTCGGGGAAGCGTAATCCTCCCTCTACAGGAGGAACATCCGAAAAGAGCTGAAACATAGTCTGGTGACTATTTGTCTCCACTCTTTCTTGATTCTTTGGGGGTGTGTTTTCAGTGCTCTTTTTATTTTTCGCCCCAAATCCCCCTTGTACGGGGACAGGCCCGACTTCAACGTAGGGCTCGAGAGAGCCGGAACTCGGGTCTGCCGGCGTCTTTTGACGAGCGCGCCCCGGATCTCGACGGTCCAGTTTTCGCGGGACGTTTGCAGCGGGGGCTCGCGCCGAATTCCAGGTTGCGCCCCGTGGTTTTCTCATGATGGCCTCGTCGGGCCAGCCCGAGCCCCCCGCAATAACCCGGGTCCCACGTCTCCCCGATCACTGAGAGCAGCATCTGCGGAGATCTTCGGATGCCCTGGGCACGCCGAGGCCGGTCTCGGGGTCCAGAGCCTCCCGGGAGGGGCCCGCGTCGCCACGGCTGGGTTCGCCTCCAGGTTTCTCCTGGCCCAGCGCGCGGTATTGGGGGGGCACGTGCGGACCCTACCCCTACCCCCCACGATTTCTGAGGAGGGGGTAGGGGTAGGGTTCGCATGTGCCCCCCCAGGTATGTCGGCCCCGTTTGGTTCCCCTGGGCAGGGGTACCTTTCGGTGCACAGGGTGGAGAACGGCGACTTCAGCGTCTCCAAGAGGAACAATCACTACTCCGGGGAGGACGGGGCCACGAAGTGCGACCCCTTCTACCAGAGGCCGGCCGTGAGCGCCACCAACAACTCTGTAAAGTACAACATCATCTCGAAGCAGCGGAGCTGGTTCAAGTATTAGGAGTCGGCGGCGTGCAGAGGGGCGGGGGCGAGGGCGCATGCAAAGGCAAGGGGTGCAGGCTTCTTAGAAGACGTCTGGCCTTCGGAGGAGCCTGTCGGGCGACGTCTCTCCCCCTGATTTCTCAGAAAAGCTGGCCGTTGGGAAAAGAAGGGGGACTCGGGGATTCGTCCCCGATGGACGCTTCTCATCGCCTATTCCAGAGTTGGGCTTCGCGGAAGCCTCACCACGTCGGGGAGTAGGGTCGCGAAGCCTCTCGTTGAAAGTTCTGTAGAATCCGTCCATCCCCCTTTTCAGAGACCATTTCGACCAGATCGATCCGAATCGATTTCGATTTGGGTCCGGCCCGATTTGATTTGCTTCCGATAATCAAACGATCCGATGCGGCTCGATGCTCGCATGGCGCTGTTGAGCATCCTGGCACAGCCGATCCGATTCGATTGCGACTCCATGCCGAGCCGATCCGAGGCGCATTCCGATTCGATCCCGCTTCCCGATCCGATGCTGCTTTCACCATGCCTTGTGATCAGACCCCCTGACTTCTCAAAAGGGGCGCCTCCTCGCCCAGCCCTCCCCGGACCCCGTACGTCGCGAGCTTCCCACGTGGAGCCCTCGGAGGTTTCGACCCCTCCCCTGTCGTTTCGTGGACCCGAGCCGTTCTGTCGACGGCCCCGCGTCGTGGCTACCTCCTGCCGAGTCGTTTTGTTGACGGCCCCGCGTCGTGGCTACCTCCTGCCGAGTCGTTCTGTCGACGGCCCCGGGGCCCAGCAGGGGCCCTTCGGGGTCGAGCCGGGAGGCCCCGAGCAGCGTGGTGACCGCACTGGGTGCTGAGTCGGTGGGGATTCGGGGTCGAGGCACGAATTCGTGACTCGGGTCGTGCTCCGAGGGTGTCCTGGGCGATCAGTGGGGATTCGGGGTCAGGGCACGCTTTCGGGACTCGGGTCGTGCTCCGAGGGTGTCCTGGGCGATGGTGGCTCTCCGAGGTCCCAAGACCGTCCGGTTACGTACGGACCGTGCCGTGAGGTCTTTGGGGCCTCCGAGGTCACCGCGCAGTCTGTCCTCACGCATGATTGGGACCCCCAATCGACAAGTTGCCCCCAAGCGTGGAACCAAGCAGAGGTCCTGACCCCTTCCTCCGGACCGGTGTTTCATCCCCCGAGTTGTTTTGTACAGGAGGGAAACAGACATTCACACACACATACATACATACATACATACATACATACATACATACATACATACATACATACATACATACATACATACATACATACATACATACATACGTACGTACGTACGTACGTACGTACGTACGTACATGTACGTACATACATACATACATACATACATGCATGCATGCATGCATGCATGCATGCATGCATGCATACATACATACAGACAGACAGACAGACAGACAGACAGACATACATACATACATACTTACATACATACATACATACATACACACAGACACACATACATACATACATACATACATACATACATACATACATACATACATACATACATACATACATACATACATACATACATACATACATACATACATACATACATACATACATACATACATACATACATACACACAGACACACAGACACACAGACACACACACACACACCGCAGGCGTTTGCTGAACGTCCCTGGGCGTTTGCAACACAGACTTGGCCTGTTCGATTCCTTTCTTGGGTGCGCTGGCTAAACGGCTTCGCTTGCCGGGGTGCTCATCACGAGGATGGACTTCCCGCTCTCGACTTGCAGCACCTACCCGGGGCCGCGCTGTCAGTTAGAGGGCCCTTTCGGGCCCCTCCAGGGCCGCTTCCCTGCAGCGCCCTGGAGGTCCAAAGCTGCCACCGGCCCTCCGTCGCGATGTCTGCACGGCGCGAGAAGGGCCCAGGCCTGGGCATCCATGGAGGCCGCGGGGGACCCGCCTCGATCCTAGGAATCGCCCTGTCGGTCCTCGATCCTCCGCGAGCCCTACGGAGGAGAAGTAGGAGGCGGAGGAGGAGGAGGAGCAGTAGGAGGAGGAGGAGCAGGGGGAGGGAGGAGCAGGGGGAGGGAGGAGCAGGAGGAGCAGGGGGAGGGAGGAGCAGGAGGAGCAAGGAGGAGGAGCAGGAGGAGGAGGAGGAGGAGGAGGAAGAGGAGGAAGGAGGAGGAGGCCTCGCCCCCCGATCGTCGCCGATCCGTCCATGGTCCCCGAGCTTTCCCTGTCCTCGATCTCTCCCGAGCCTCGCCCCTCTCCGGACCCTGGACCCGCGAGCAAAGTCCTGACTGAGCTCTCCAGACCCGTGGAGGCCGACGCTGCCACTCCGAAGGGGGGGCCTGCAAGAGGTCTTCCGTGGCACGGCCAGCCTGGACCACGACAGGCACACCATTGTCAGATGCTCCGGCAGGCTTGCTTCATCGAGGATAGGAAAAGGAGCCCTTGACCCTCACAGCACAGTGAAGACGTGGCCTCACTCAGATCCCCGTCTTTGCATTGGGGATCACAGGTCCGGGCGGTTCGGTTCGATACATTTGACCAAAATGAACTTCCTAACCTAGGTCCCCTCCCAAAGGGTTAAGGCTCCTTGTTTGGTTAACCATTGTTTGCTATGTTTGCTAAAGTATTTGTGTATACGTATATGTATATGTCTATGTCTATGTGTATGTCTATGTGGACGTATATGTGTATGTATATGTACACGCACATGATTATGCATATGCGCATGACGCTGGACATGACTGTATGTATGTAGGTATGCATGCATGCATGCATGTATGCATACATGCATGCATGCATACCTGCATGTCTGTCTGTATGTATGCATGTATGTGTGTACATATGTATGTTTGTATGGATTATATATGTATGTATGTATGTATGTATGTTTGTATGTACGCACGTACGTACGTACGTACGTACGTATGTATGTATGTATGTATGTATGTATGTATGCATGTGTGTATGTGTGTATGTATGTATGTATGTATGTATGTATGTATGTATGTATGTATGTGTACGTACGTACGTATGCATGCATGCATGCATGTATGCATGCATGTATGTGTATGTTTGTATGTATGTATGTATCTATGCATGTATGCATGTATGTATGTATGTGTGTATGCATGTATGTATGTATGTGTGTGTACGTATGTATGTATGTATGTATGTATGTATGTATGTATGTATGTATGTATGTATATATGTATGGATAGATGCATGTATGCATGTGTGTAGGTATGTATGCATGTATGTATGCATGCACGTATGTATGTATGTATGTATGTATGTATGTATGTATGTATTTTTATGCACATATGTACGTATGTGTGCTTGTATGCATGTATGTATGTATGTGTGTATGCATGTTTGTATGTGTGCATGAAAGTATGTGTGTATGTATCTGGTGCATTTGACATCGTGGAGCGAGGAGGGAAGCGGGCAGGCGGCCGCACTTTGTTCTGCGCGGCCGCAGTGCTCAAGCTCTGAGGCCCCGAGGCCCCTGTGGCTCCCTGTGGGGCGGGCACGGTGGATGGACCTGGCGGGCCTCGTGCTGCGCGAGGCGACGCGAGGGTTCGCGGCGGGCGCAGTGCCTGGCCTGCCCGTCGCCGCCTCCCTGCCCCGCCTGCGCGTGCTCGTGCGAGCCACGGCTGGTCTGCCTGGGCGGCAGCGCCACGGAGGTGCCACCTGTCCAGGCTCCTGGGGCTCAGCTTCGCGTGGCTGGTTAGCCTCGCCGGCGTGGGCGCCGGCAGCTTGGCCTGCGCGCGGCGCCGATCGCCCTGAGGAGGCGGAGCGGCCGGCCGCGAGCCCGGCCTCTGCTTGGTCAGGCGCCTCCCGGCGCGTCCCCCACGCCAGCGGAGGTCGCCGCCGCCCCGGTGGCGGCCCTGCGGGCAGCCAAGCCCCAGCTGACGCGCTGAGATGGCAGCGACGTTGGCGCAGCTGGCAGTCGTGGCGCTGGGCTTGCGGGGCGGCTTCGTTCCCTCGGCGTCCGTGGGCTTCGCGAACAGGCTGCAGGAAAGGCAGGTGGTTCGCGCCCCCGACGGCTCGGGCTTAGCGCGCGCCCTCTCGCCCAGCTGCGGCAGCTACGAGGAGGGCCCCTTCGCGGCCGAGGACGTGCGGCGCTGGCTGCCATGCGAGGGCAGTCACTTGGGGGCGTACCCACCGGCGGCGGCGAGCACCCACGCGCACGGGTCGCCGCGTAAAGCTGGCCGCCCCGCTGGCCCCTCCGCCGCCGCTGAGCTGGGCGCCCACCCCTGCGGCCGCCTTGTCGGCCCCGCGGCCGCGGCGGCAGCCCAGTCGGTGGCGCGGTCCCATCCTCCATCCCGTGACGGACGGCCTCCTGGGCCAGGCCTTGCCGGCCTCCACGCGGCGGTGATGAACATGGAGGGGGCATTCGCCGACTGGCAAGTGCGAAGGCCACAGACAGTGCTGTGGGCCCTTGAGTCTTTGGAGGCCCACGGCGGCACGCCCTCAGGCCGCCTTCTGCGGTGGTTCTTGGAGACGCGGCTGCAGGATTGCGAGCCCGACAGCGACGAGCACGAGAAGGCTTTCAGCACGCTGGAGCGGATGGCGGTCAACGACTGGCGGATCGTGGCGAACCTCGCTTCGGGGGAGATGCTCGCCGGGACCGCGCAGACGCAGGAGGAGCACCACTGCGGCCGGGGTCGGCCCTGGCAGCGCGGTCGCCCTCGCGATGCTCGGCTCGGACCAGCCGCGCGGGAACGCGATCGTCCCGTCGACGCCCCAAGCTTACGTCAAGGACGAGCCCAGGAAAATGAATGCCTACAGGCACGAGCAGCACGAAGCTAGAGAGGAGCGGACCTTTGCCCACGACAACATGAGGGGGACGAGCGGGGAGGGGAGACGGGCGCCCTCTCCTGCCATCGCCCATCGGCCGACCCCGCTCCTACGGGTGGGCCATCATCGCCCTCGCGCTGCTCGCGCACTGGTGACCGCCAGCGGGACCCGTTCCCAATGCCGCATCCGGATGGTCAGC